ATTCGAGCTAAGAAACGGGCCTAGAGTGGAGGACTTTTGAACCATACTTTGAACTAGATCTTAAGCCCATGGATCTGTAGCAACAGCCCAAATCTGTTAGACATGGCCCAATTAACCAATCTGTATCTTAACCGCATTTGTTTTCCTTCTTTTTCTCTCCACAACAACACTCTCACGAGTCTCACCAGTAATTCACATTTCTTCTTTGTGTTTTTTAGCAGATTCCGATTATCATCAACAACCTCAAGCTCGCCTGTTTCGATTCAGAACCCTAACTGTCCAATTAGAAACTAACGAGCAGTCGGAACCATAACTGCTATCGGACCATTGCAATTCTTCTTCTCTTGATCGCACGACGATCATTGAACGAAAGAAGAGGTTATCGGTATTAGCCTTTCGATCTCACTTTTTTGAATTTCAGATCAAAGATAACACTCTCACCAATAATTCACAATTCTTGCTTGAATTCTCCTGATTCCGATGATCTTCATCAATTTCAAGCTCGTCGGTTTCAACCTCTTCACTTCCATTCCTAAGTTCAGTTCGCCGATCAATTTATTCTTCGTTACGGTGAGTTCTTGATTCTTTTTATCGAATTATGTTATTCTACATTTGTGTAATTTTTTTTCTCTGATTTTCATTGGAATTTCTCTTGGAAAGGTGATTAAAAAAACGAAAAATGCCTAATTGGTTATAAGATTAATCTTTTTGAATCCATCCTGTTAGCACAATTTAGCTCTGTGGATGGAATGTAGCTTTATGTAGAAAGTATGAAATCTCGACTACAAATAATCTTGTTAGCGTAAAAAATGCAGGGGGCTTACATTTTTATTGTCATTGGAGCTACAGGAATGAATATTTTATGTCAACAGTTTTTTTTTTTTTTAATGAATTATTTGTGTTAGCATGTTGAATTTCTATTTCAGGAGATGTTATTGTGCCGCTTATATCTTAGATATCTGTTGGAGGTCCAGCCTGCTCTTCGAATAAAACAAACCTCGAATCTGTCTGGTTCGAGATGGTTGAAGGACTTTGCATCCAGTTAGTGTTTGGTGAGGCTTCAATGGCACGTAACATATGAACGCTATCAATCCCATTTCTCTCTTCCAGTTCACTCTTCCTAAAGGTATATGAACTCATGTTTTTCTTGTCAAAGTTTCTTGACATTTCGCGGATTCTATTCCACACTGGAATTTTAGAATCAAGCAACACATCCCTTTAGTCATATAGAAACTTAGCTGCAAAGATGATAAGGGCTACTAGTGCAGCCAACCCAGCAATGAGGAAGAGGCCCCAAAAGCTCCCAAGACTCAGACTGTTAGAAGAAATTGTGGTGCCTGAATCAGGACAACTTGTTTGCTTTTGAAACCATGCGTTCTCTATTTCAGTTATTTTATCACCTTCCCTAACATTTAAGATAGCTCTGTTGAGATCTGCTACAAGAGAAGAACCTCTCGGAAACATCTATAGATTCACCAATTAATCAGAACCATGCAGATGCTGTGAGAGTGAAAGAGAAATGTAGAGATGGCACTTACAAATCCAAAGCCATCAGTTTTAAAAGTTGGTCCTGCAATGGTGTATTTGTTGCAATATTGTGCAAGAAACAGCTTCATTTAGGGAATTTCATCAAAAGCAGCTGCGATGCTTCCATTGGCAAAAAGTTCGTAGAGATCATTTAGGGTCTTATATTTCTTCATCTTGGATGGATTGAACCTCTCACAAGTCCCTCAACAAAGGAGCCAGAGGGATACCCAACATTCTCTCCTTTCTTCAACAGTTCAGCCACATCAGTCACCGTTGGTTGCTGTTATTGTACTGTCAGTAGAGAAGTTAAACTGGCTGTGTAGCTCTGCGTCAGAATGAATACCACAAAGTGCCATATCACCACCACAAACCTTGACGGATTGCTCACAACTGTCTCCTCTGAGAGCACGAACATAGAGTAAGTTAGCTTGCTAGCTCTTATCTTTATGTATTCTATTTGAAACTAGAGGTTTGATCAAGTCAAACTGGATTTGAACTCCTTGGTTCAATTTCAGTTTGACCTCGATCAACTTTGAACTTTGAACTTTGATATAACTCCTCTCATTTATGACCCTATCTGACTTCAATCTGTGAAAGGACCATTACCATGTGCAAAGACCATGGTTTGCAAAGAGAACCAGAGGTTGGTTCCCACCTAATGCAAAGGGGCTCCACGAAAATCAAGACCAATTCTATGTTCCAGAAGCCAAACGACAAGTCCAATGAAGATGACAAAGCAACCACTTGTGATCCAGAGGTCCCATGTCAAAGGCTTCAAAAACACCCATGCATTCTTGTTTGAACCATCTTGGATAGGGACTACCATCACCACTCCAGACCCGTGTATGGTAATGTGAAGTCCACGTATAATGATCTGTTAGCCACGATGGTAACATCTCCAACAACCGCATCGTAATTCTGTTTAGTTCACCTTGTTAAGGGAGAAATCCAAACATGGCTTAATTTAATAGAATCACAAGAAGGTTAAAAAGTGTTTTCATATCCCAAGGAAGACTTGATATACCAAGTCACTGTAAGATCTGGCCATCTCACCGTTAAAATTTTGGAAAGAAATGAATTCGTAGGCTACGGCATATGGCATTGAACCAATGACAGCAGTGAACACATCGACGCAGTAGCCGGTGACTGTAGTTGAATTGGTACTTGGATCTAGCGTTACCTTGACGAATTCACTAAATCCATCCTTCACTGGCACTCCAATCTTCAACCTCTTACTGATTATCGGAATCTCCCAATCTTTAGGAACGGAATTTGAATCTCCTGGCCTTGGAAGCAAAATATTTGGTCAAATTTATGAAATTCAGTTTCTAAACAGTCCGTTTTTGGGGGTCCAAAACCCAATTCCTCCTTCTCCATTAACAATTGGAAAGTAGAAGACTCAAATTGTCCATTAGCAAAGCTTAATTCTCCACTGAGGCCTTTAAATCTCGTACTGGACAAAGTCTGGATGAGTTTTGGACCATTTTGAGAGACCCCAGTAGATTGAAGATCTGTTCTTACACTTTAGGGAACAGTTGACATATCAAAGCTGAAATTTGTAGTGCTAAATGGCTCTATCGCCATGGCTGGTGCAAATGTAGCATCGTAAGCCCATAATCCATAAATATCTAATTCAGCATTAATCATACTTGGATTATCATGCAAGAACTGCCTTTTCCATCTAACACTAAAATTATCTAACTCTTTTGATTTCGGAATGTATGTCCTTACCCCCAAAACACTGTGAATCAAATCCATTTTTAATGATCCATCAAACTCCAAACAGTAGTCATTCGATTAGTCATGATCCATATGTACTCTGCAGTTATCGTCCCAATCTCTTTTGCTATGTTGAAAACCCTGAACCCAAAAGCGGGGAGCATATGAACAATGAAGACTCTAGTTTGCGTGGTCATTAACTTGTATAGCTCCCCTTCAATTTCCTCATCAATGGCCACTAAAGAGATAAGACTCCGGTAAGGAATTCGAGTGTCAACCTCTTCCAAGGCATCCAATAAATATGGTATGATTCCTTCTCCGAACTCGTTGTCTACGTATATGGGCACGCCTCTCTCCATCCAAAAGCTTTGATGATGGTACCAATGACTTTGAACCGAGATGAATCGTTTTGGGTTGCTCGGAAAAAGTATGTGCTCTGGGTGGAAGTAAGAGAAGGATATGATGGATACTTGAAATTTGTTTCCGAAATCTATGACGAAGTTTGCCTGCATTGAATGTATTGGACTACGACTGCTTGTGCTTTTTTTTTTTTGGATAAAATGTGAAATATTATTTATCCAATAAAACTGTCAATATACAATCAAGCAACCAAAAAAACAGTTGCTACATCAAGAAGAAATAACTCCTACAAATCTTCAGAACAAAACTTCATTGTACAAAGTTTTCAAGCCCCCACCAACTAGCTATGCTAGGGGACAAGGGAGAAGAATGGGGCTTAGCAAAGCCCAAAATCTTATCACGAACATCTCTTTGAATTTCAGCAATAATGAGTTGAACTGACTTGAAGTTTTGCTCATGAATTCGTCTATGTCTCTCCATCCAAATATGATATACAGCAGCATTCCACGCAGGTTTTATAAGGGTCACTTGTACATCTCTTTGACTGCTTGTACTTGCACATTCTTAATTAAGTCCGAAGCTGTTAGTCAAAATAAAATTATCAATTTGTTTTTAATCAAGTACAGGTATGTACCTATTAGAGCCCACTCAAATATACATGTCGAAATATTTTTAATTAGATCAGTTTACTTAGACAAAATCATGAAATTAATTTATGAATGTGCTGACTTGTTGAAAAAATAGCAGTTGGCAGCTGATGATTACTATTACAATATTAGTAGCTCAAGGTCAAATGCTAATAAAAAAATAGTTCAACGTCAAATATTCTTTGTACAGCTGTGAATTGAGTATGGACTATGGGTGGAAATTGAAAAGGTAAGGATTTTAAGTAAATATTTTGGGATAACTTTTCTTTATAACTTTTATGTATTATTAATAAATAAATACATATGATATCTTAAGTTTTAGTTTAATGAAAAGAGTTAATTATTAAAAGTTATAAGTATATACTTATTTTCTTTTAATAATTAATTTTTTTCACCTTACTAAAATTCATGATAATATATATATTTATTTAATAACATATAAAAGTTATAAACAAAAAATTATACCAAAAAATTATTTTCATATCATTATCATTATTAAATGACATATAAAGTTATATAAAAAAGATATATAAAACATATTGTCTCTCTTAATAAAAATTCTGTTTTATAGTTTGAATTGTAAAATAAAAATCATTGTGATAGACAATTTCTAATATTAGGAGCTCAACTTTTATTCAATGGTTTAAGTTGTGTAGTCTAAATTGCACAATAAATTTTTGTTTCTTAATTAACTTGAAATTATATATACCTCTCTATTCAAAATAATTGTCATTCTTTTATATTTTTCCTCTTTGATTAGGAATATGAGGATATTTATGTATTTACATATATTAGGGTGGATAATTAAAGTCACGATTAATAATAGGACAAAAAAAAAGTCACTTTTTGTCTTTTTTTTTTTTAATTAATGATTTAGAAATAATTTTTCTTTTTATTTTTATTATCCTTGTCATATGTTTGAGTTGAGCTGAGGAAAGGAAAATATTTTTTAATTAATCAAATATTTTTTAAAATATTATAATTTGATTAAAAAAAATCTTCTCCTCCCCTTCATTCATTTCATCCGAATATATTATATAAAAAAATAAATGATAAAAGGGGTTTTTTTGTGATAGGATAATAATTAAATAAAAAGATAATAACAAGATTAAAGTAAAACAATATTTGTCTATTTTAAAAAATAAAAAATAATTAATTTAAAACAAAATTAAAAAAAAATGACAATTATTTTTAGATAGCAAGAGTATCTCTCTTACCAAATTAAAAAACCAACAATTAATTTATGATAAATTTTAAATTAGAAAACAACAATTATTTTGTAAGTTTGTGAGTAAGACAGTAAACAAAAAGGAGCATTAGAGTCTTGATCCAATTTTCTTAGCTGTTCAATTTATTAAAGAAAATGGAGCAACTGAGGAAGCTGAAGAATAAAAGTCTCCGGTGTGTAAAACCAGCCTGGTTGTGTAGTTACTGTGGTATGAATAAAGTCTTGCAGGGCCATGTTGATGCAACTCAACCCTAGCTTCCCAACCCACGCGTCCTAGTCAAGAACCACGCCCACATTCGCTGAAATCGTTGTGTTTTGAGCCGCCGACGACACTTCCGTCCTGCAAAAAAGTTGAAAAACCATGAAATGGCAAACAAGAGAGAATAAAGGTTTGGTAGCCATTTCCTCCCTTGTTTTTATTGGCTAAAGTATACCTTTAGCCCCTCACCTTAATAAATTTAAAAGTTTTAGCGCTTTATCTTGTTTTATAAAAGTTTTTAACCTCTAAACTTAAAGTTTTGTTGATTTTAACCCTTAAACTAATGGAATCATTAACTCTCCGTTAAGTTAAGGTAAAAATAAAATATTTATAAATCAGTCCTTAAAAATTAAAAATATAATAATTAATTTAGTCTTTAAAGTTTAAAATTAAAAAAATTATTAAATTAAAAATAATTAATAGATGTCTTTGCCTTATACACAATAACAATATTAGATATCTATAATAAATTAAGCAATTAACTCAATTTGAAGAAAGAATTTTGACTAAAATTAAAAAAAATTTCTTAGTTGAGTTAAGATAAAAAAGTCTAAAAGACTAAAAAAAATAGATTTAAAAAATTTTCTTTAATCTCAGTCAAATTTTTTTCCTTAGATTAAGTTAATCATTCTATTTAGTTATAGTTTTCTAATATTGTTCTCATGTGTGTGACAAAGACATCTACTAATTATTTTTAATTTCCTATTTTTTAATTTTTAAACTTTGGGACTTAATTATTATATTTTTAATTTTTAAGGATTGATTTTATAAATATTTTATTTTTACTTTAATGGAGTTAATGGATTCCGTTAGTTTAGGACTAAAATCTTCAAACTTTTAAGTTTAAAAACTAAAAATTTTGTTGTATAAGATGAAAGATTAAAATCTTCAAATTTATTAAAGTAAGGGGTTAAAAGTATATTTTAATCATTTTTATTGCTCTGATTTTCAGACTGAAAGGATACTGCACCTCTATTTATAGGGCAAATGACGAATATTCAGAAATCAACAACTTCTTTTTTTTTTTTTTTTTGAACGGATTTACAATTTGCAAGCGGGGGATTCGAACTCTGGGCTGGGGTGCACCTTTCGAGAAATCAACTGCTTGATGGATGGTGCATATATACGATCCAAGTTGCATGCTACTTAATTAACTAAAACAGACTTGAGTTCAAATCCTTTCCATTCCACCATCCCCCATCCCCTCACAATGTAATTCTGTTAAAAAAATAATAATGATTATAACATTTAGGTACGGAAATTTTCATCCATCTTTAAGTTCTCCATAGGACCCAATGAGAACTCTGATTGCTTGGATGTCATTTTTATCAAAACTCAGCAAATAATAAAATTTCATATATATATATATATATATATGATTCCTTACATGAAAATATAAAGGCTTCATTTGTTAGTAGTGTTGTGATGTGTTGTAGTTGTAGGTTTTTTGTTGAGTGGAAAAATCCCACATAAAGTATGTAAGAAGTTTGTGGCTTAAATATAAGGAAGGCCACTCCACATATCGCCAATTGATTTTAGATTGGATGCAAGTTTTATGTTGAGCTCACATGCACAATTTTCACATGGTATCAGAGTTTAGATTCTATCCTGAGAAGCCCGTTATCAACTCACTTGACAGAACCCAAAGTTAAAGGGACATTCATAGTGAGCCTGCATGTGAGGGGGCGTGTTAAGTGGAAAAATCTCACATCGAGTATAAAAATAAGAAGCTTGTTGGTTAAATACAAGGAAAGCCACTTCACCTATTGCTAATTGGTATTAGGTTGTGAAAATTGTGCATGTGGGCTCAACACAAGACTTACATCCAACCTAAAACCAATTGGCTATTCTTATATTTAACCCACAAGCTTCTTACTTTTATAATCAATATGGGATTTTCTAACTCAACATGCCCCCTCACGTGCAGGCTCGCTATGGATGTCAGGTTCTGTCATGTGGCTTAACACGCATCCTTTCATGCAAGCTCGATATCAACTTCAGATCCTATCAGGTGGGCTAACAATGGGCTTTCTAGGACAGAATCTGATCTCTGATACTATGTGAAAATTGTGCATGTGGATTCAATACGAGACTTGCATCCAATTTAAAACCAATTGACTTCGATGTTAGCCCAATTGATAGGACCCGAAGTTAAAGGTATCGGATCTGCATTTAAAGGGACGTGTTAACTCACGTGACAGGATCCGACATTCATAGCAGGCCTACACGTGAGGGAGCATATCAAGTGGGTATATTAAGTGGGAAAATCCCACCTCAAGTATAAAAGTAAGAAACTTGCATGCTAAATATAAAAAAAGCCACTCCACCTATTGCCAATTGATTTTAAATTGGATGCAAGTCTTATATTGAACCCACATTTACAATTTTCATATTTTTTATTGTTATTTTAAAAATATATAAAATATTATAATTATAATTAATAAAAATATATAAAAATTAAGCTAATTAAAATTAATTTAAAATTATAAATTTATATTTTAAGATAGAGTGTCATAGACTCTAATTCATATATATATCACCTCAATATTGGTTGCCTTGACAGTTTATTTTTCATTTTTCATCAAACAAACAAATTAAAGAGAGTCAGGAACTTGTTGATTAGGGCTATTTAAAACTGTAAGCCAGATAAACTATTTAACGGGTTGGTGCATTTTTGTTATATTAATTCATTCTGTGCTAACTGGTGCAGCTTTTCCTTCAATTCAAACAAGGATTTTCATAAACTTGAAAAGTTGGTAAATAGTCATTGAATTAAGGTCTGACTTTGAGGAGGAGTTAGCAGTTAAGGAGTCAATTCGTCTCTGCAACCCAAGTAATAAATTAAATAGGTCAAGAGATCAGTGTTTGAGTGATTTTCCTGTTCCTAAGATATCTAGACTCAAACGTAAATGTACGTTATT